AACTAGATAAATTTTGACCTTGAGGATCGTATAAGTTAATAACGAAAGAACGTATAGAGTCGCTTCTGAGTCGCTTCTGTTTTAATAAAGTAAGCAAACTTCAATCGTCAATTTCATCATGAAAAGGCGTTTACTTCCTCCATTTTCAGTGAGCTATTGAAATCAAAAAAGCTAGAATTTTTATTTGTTTATCTGTCGCGCAAAGATCTTTTAAGATATAAAATCGAAATTTTATCAGACATACAAAATTCTAGATTCTGTCCAATGATATATTCAAAAGAAAAAAATCTGTTTTTTTAGTTCCGATAAAGAGACAAGTCAATGTTTGTGACAACAATTTCATCACATATTACAATGAATGTATGAGAGAATTGGAAATTTCTATACAATGGGAAATACAATAGAAAACTTTATTTTATGGAAAGCGGTTGAAAAACATTTTCAAGAAACGAGAGTAAAAAAATAGATGATTTCATAGATTTTAATCTGTTGCTAATGTATCAAATATGCCTGAAGTTCAGTGCATTTTAAAAATGATAGAAGAGCGGTGTTTTGCTAGTAGAATTAAATTTGGAGAAATAGGTGTATATGTCATACTTAAACAAAAGTTACCCGATCAATTATGCGAAAAACAACTTCCATTAGATAAAACATAATTAACTCTTTTGGAATTACTATTATTTTCACTATTATTTCTCACTTTAAAAATGGAAGGTTTCTATATTGAGGCTGAATAATTGTGGTAGACAAGTATTACTAGAGTTAAGATTAACATTGAACAGCATCACCTTTCTTACATCTACAGATATACAACAGTTGCATCATGTTAATTGTAGATTATTGTCTCAGTAATTCTGGTAATAATTTTCAAATACATCTAACCTTTCTTTTTTCTTTTCAACAATTTTGTGCTTATATTATACTTAGCCATTATTTAACGATAATAATACTTTCATTCAAACATTAAAATTATCTGACATTTAGGAGAGCAAAAAAAATATATATTTAAGATTAATTTCATAGAATTTTGACAGGCAATTATGTGGTTTACTATATCCGTAGTTTACCATTTTCTACGAGCCATATGCCATATGGTCGGAATAAAAGAATTGTTGTTACAACAAAAAGGATTGTTATGTAGCCACGCGATGTTCCAATTTAAAGGTTATCGGTCAAATGAAACTGTTGCATCCTCACTTAAAACTAAATTAGTAATGATTTGATTTTCTGACTTTTTATTGATTGATTATGCGTAAAAACGTTGCTATGCACTAAAGAAACATGCTCTAATGGTAAGATTGACTCTCATCAATCGAGGACATCGGCCTGTCTATATGCTGAAGTTTTAAATGCAAGTTTTGAATGAAGTCGGATTAACAAAAATTTTCTTTTTTCTTGAAATGTTTTTTAAGAAAATTAGTATTTTTTTAGAACCTAGCCACAGATTACGGTTCATGTACCGATGAATAATCGATGTTAGGGCATTCAGCAAGGTCGTTCCGAATCAATTATAAAAACACTCAGAGTTGTCAAATGTCTCATTTTGTAGAAAAATGTTTGTCAAAATATTTCAGTTACACAAAAGTTTTTCTCCATCGTGCTTCATTGAGCCACAATCTGTGGCAAGGTTTTGGTAGGTTGAATTTACGAAGAATAAATTTTTAAAAATTTTTAACTTTTTGACTGTTCTACAAAGTGGCTAATAATCGTAACTTAAAAATTTTTTAATCAATGAAATGAATTACTATTTTAGATTTTACACGTTTTAATTAAATTCTTAGAAATCAAGAAAATAAGTTTTCTAGAAAATCACTAGTTTAGGATCAAATTAATTCTATCCTGAAAACACACAATGAGGGTAATGTGCTGATGTGAAATATCCCAGAATCAAAAGAAATATTACTTTTTGAGCGTTTGGGGCAGGAGCGGTATAAAAAGAATTCCATATAAGATCCATTATTAATTAATTCTTTTCAGAAACAATTATACAGTTTTTTAGGCGCAGCAGTTAAATGTTTTGCTAAAATCTTTTCTTAGTTAATTTATAACTCTGCTATAACAATTCAGGATATTAGTCAAGTATTCTCTATAATCTAAGAAGATTTTTAATAACACTTTTAGTATGTGTCCGCCCCGCTTCCCTCCCTTAAACTGTGTAGAAAAGAGCATGTTTTCATTTCTATTAACTTAAAGGAATATCATTTTTAAATATGACAAGGAAATAAATATTTTATGTTAACAAAATTGTCTTGAAACAGTTGCCACTGTAATCAATTTGAGCAATTAGTTGAAAATAATACTGTCTCTATACGAGTAACACAGAACCATACTTTTTTCACTTGTCCTTATAACTGAAATATTAGAAAAAGTAATATTCTTAATGTATTACTGGGTGAAAGCACATTTGTTATGCCAAAAAAAATGAAACTGTAACTAAAATATAAAATGAGAACAAAGTGTCAAACTCTATTAACATCTGGTCGATGAAACATATTATTTCGATGTACCAGTGAAACATAAATACCAATAGAATTGCGAGATCATGCTTCAAGTGTTCAATTTTGCTACGAAAAAAAGTCATTTATTCTTGATGAGGAAGGTTGATTCCCCAAAATAGAAAAATAAACATTGAAAAAATACAGGAAAAATGTTAGCATAAAGCTTTTATGGTTAAGCTAAGATTAGAAATGGATGAGACTCAAAATATTTTTAACGATACTGAGACTAAGATCCGTCCTATGTCTAATACACAGTCAAAAATCAAAGATTCTTTAGTGTGAATTTTTTTAAAAACGGATCAGCTGTAACTTAGAGAGCTTCACAATTCATTAGACAAATGAACGAGTTTTATGAGCCGTTTAATCAGGAGAAAAGTAAAATCTTTTGTTCTTTGAACGAAAGGTTGATCTTTGAAGTCAGAAATGAAGTAGTCAAGGAGTTTTTGCACATATAGCGGAAATTTGAACTTTATCAGAGACAGTAAACTTTTGATCGAACCATCAAACTATTGCAAACTGTAGTTTAACTGGTGTAACACGTTTAAATAATTTCGCCTCTGATACAGCTAACTGACACGCGTCAGTGGAACGATCTGTGATGAACTGACTGTGATCAACAAGTGCTTGGCTATTGTCGACTTCTTTTACTTCTCGTTTTGTTCAATCGTCTGTTTAATTCTATGTGATATACAATCCAGTTTGCCCAAGAAAAAACAAACTGTTGTCAGGCACATTCTCTTGGTCTATCATCTGCTTCACAATATAAATCAAATGTGACAGGTTTATCTCCAACTGTAGTTGGATCAGGTATTAAATATATGCAAAAGTTTGATGCTAATAACGAGATTCCAACATCAGATAACACCCAGTCGTGTTTTTCAGTATAGGATAAATGTTGTTTCATTTGATCCAATAATTTGTGTTGAATGATCTAGCAGGCAGTAGTTGTTGTTGATTTTTTACTGAATGTGATCTTGCTTTCGATCTTATTATGGTATCATCTCTTGATGGGCAATTTTCCCAAGGTGGTTGAAGAGGTTTGTTGAGCATCATGGCTGATGTTAAATCATATTTTTGTTTGTGGATACTAATGCGGCTGTTAAACTAGTTGGCACAGAAAGAATTTGTGTTATTGTTGTTACTTGTGTTAATCCTTGCAGTGGTAGTGGCATCCCCCAATCTATACGGCTGCTTGCCAGGTTCACTGGCAATGTAGATGGTACTCATGGTGATATTTGCTGTTGATGCATCATCATCGAAACAATTGATCCGGTTATCGGTTGCATAGCAGATGACACTACATGAACAATTGTATGCGACATTTTTTCTATTAGTTCTTTTATTATTCCATTATTATTACTATTGTGATGATTTCTATATTGGTGTTTGGAAGTTATCTAATGGTTGGATTTTAAATAAGGAAAATCATCACTATTCATGTTTTGATCGTTTAATATCATAATTACATTTTTACTATATTCGACTAGATATTCAAATTTAAAACATTTGTAGCACTGAACATGTTGCGTATTTGGTTTAGCTGATTCAGCATTATAATGCAGATAATCCCTTTTTAACCCAGTTTTTAAAAATCTTTCACAATTTAATTTATCAACAAAAATAACTTTTATTATTTTTATTGGTTTATTATCTTTTTCAACGTAAATACGTTCAGTACTGTCAAATTTAACACCATTTATTGTTAATACATGGTTTATTTCATCAATCGAAATTCTTGGTCAACTTGTTTTATAATTTATTATAATTTATTTATTTATAATTTGTTTATATTCTGTATTCAATACGGATTTGATGTCACGTGGAACATAGACTTTAATGTTATCTTTTTCACTTGGAGATGAATCCGACGAAAAAGATGTTAATAGGTGGTGACTATATGTTTTTGGATCTGATGGTCGAATAGTAAATAAATTATGTTTATTTTTGAATATGTTTTCGATTTTTGCGTCAGGCATTTTATTTTTCAGGATTTTATTTGATTGTATTTTATTTACATTTGAAATGTCTTTAACGGCAACTGGAACTACTTTGAACTCTTTTTCGGGGTTTGTTGCTTGTTGTTTCTGCTGGCACTGACCTTCTGAAGCTCCGGAGAGCTCCCTTTTCCTGTTCGGAGTTCCTCTTCCATTTCGATGTTATTCCAATTTATTTACTATTTACTTTTTTTCTCTTTTTCCATCCATTAAAATTGTACCCTATAACTCTAGATGATTTTAGTTCTGCGCGATCTTTATTCACCAAGTTACAATATTTACAAGAAAAGTTCAAACCTGTGCTCTCTAAGCAGTACTTAGGAGAAAGAAAAAAGAACAGATTTTGTATGCATTTTCCTAAAAAATGTACACTATAGAATTCTTCGATACCGGTCTTGGAGATGAATTTTCGAACGACCTTCTGGAAAATCTATTTTCGTTAATATCATAACTTTACTACATTTCTAAGTTTTGTTCATTTTTTTGAACTTTAGCTTAGAATAATAGAATGATATGCTTGAAAATACCCGATATACACACCATTCGTAAGTGAGAAAATAAAACGATGATCAACAATCATATATTTAATATATTTTGATTATATTTTAGATGAACAAACGACTACTCAACTGACATCAACATCAGGCATCAGAGACAGTGGGTATGAATCATGTGATGCTGAAAAATTAAAAATATCGAATAGTCAATCAAATGTATCATTGTCACCGGATGGTCAAACATTAATCGTTTCTTATTATACAACACCATCCGTTGTTGATAAAAATAATAATCCTTCTCAACAAACAGCAATGAGAACATTTTCTTCTAGTCACTCTCAACAACATCCAAATGATTTAATTACTCATCGTGTAAGATTAGCTGAACAAGAAATAATTGAAGTATGAAAATAATTTCAACTTTTTTTTTGAATTAAAATGCTCAGGTTTTTCATATGTGCCATAATCGACGAACAAAATAATGCTCAATACAAAACACTTTTATTGAATTTTTTTCTACTCATTTTGTAGAATATCATTTTTTTTTTTTTAAAAATACAGTGTTGTTGTACATGTTTTTTATATGTATTATTCATGTTGACATGTCTTTGTTGTTTCTAGAATTTTTCTATTGTATCTAATATTAAAAAGATTTGAAACAAAGAGATCTAATTAATTTACGAAAAAGTTAAGAGTGCACTGATTTTTCGTATTAACATTAAAGGATACATTTACTGTAATCATTCTTTATTAAAACATTCTGAGTTCCTTGACTATTCCCATACTGTTTTGTCTATTGTGTCTGCAAAATGTTCATTTATTACTGAAACTATTCAGTTACGTTAAATTATTGAATTGTGTTTAATTTTCAAATGATTTTATTTTTTTCGTATACTCAAGGATAGAAGAATTATACGCTCAATTTAATATTATATTCTCATTTTTTACGCGCATTGCTCATTTCTAGCCCAAAGTGAAAATTTGACGATAAGCCAAAGAAAAAGAATTGATTGAATAGACCGTCCAGTCAAATACAGCCGCTAGGTATACAAGAGTTTCATGTCTAATGCACGACTAAACGATTATTACTTGATCATTTTCTTCTCTTCTATTGTATTGTATACTGTCAATAGACACATGCACATACAAAGATAATTAACTTCAAACAAACGAAGAGAAAAGAAGATGGAGCTCTTTTAAAAGTTTAAAACATATCATAAAGAAAGATCGTATTAAATCCTTTTTTACGTTGATTGAGACACATATAGATAACAAAAATTTTAGAATTTATGAATTCGGTCTCACGAGAAGTTACTACAACTCTTTATTAAAAGCGATTATTATAGCAATTTTTCAGTAAAAAGTTATGGAAATAATCAATCCAACACAAAAATCTTTACACTATTGACATTGATAAAAGACTAAAGGCAGGAAAATGAGCACAACAAAATCTTTAACTAATTTTCTACTACACAGAACCAAAGCAAACGTGAAGCATTTTCAACGGATGCCTACGCCTACATTTTTATTCATTTTACTTTACTTTTATCCCCATTAATAACAGCAATGAGGAACAGATTGACGACTATGAAAATCCTATTATTGAGCTAAGTAACTCTCTTGTGCGAACGCTAGAATTCTCGTTGAGAACGAAAAGTTTTGAAATTTGTGGAACTGAGCTATATGACTAGCCATTCATAAACATAAATAACGGTTTTCATTCTCTGAGCACATTTTATTCAAAAATTTCAATCTCATTAATCAAGAAAAAATATATGAGAACACTTGAAACTATAAGTCTATCTGTATGACGAGTGACACATAGATCATATGCTGCAAATGGCATATACAATATTCACATAAATATATCTTGCTACATTAACACAGTATATTACAAAACAATGATTCATTAAAGCGATAAGATGTCACACAAAAATAAAATCAATATGGTCCAACTTACAGAGAAAAAGTTCTCTGCAGTTGGTTCAATAATATATAATCTCTTTCGTCGTATATAAAATAAAAATGCGTTTAAAAACAATTCTATATATTGAATGAAGATCGTACGTTTTAGGAATTTAAAAACTTCTTGAACATATCTCTTAACTTATCATCTTTGACTAATAATTTATGGATTTGACTTAGATTATATTTACTCCGTTCTCTCTATATTAATAGCAATACATCTACGGAACATAACGTGAAATATTCACAGTACGCAATGAATTGAACTGTCTATCTTCTCGAAATTAATGTGAACATATTTTTTCAATTAGAAGTTTGTCATGTGCCGCTGCATACTAGAAAAAAAGTAATTAATAATAACAGAATATGAGCATTTTATTTCCATTGTACAAGGTGAAAAGAAGCTGTTAATATTCTATCGTTCCACTCTCACAATCTTTACCATTACTTTCTTCATTATACAGTAGATATAAATGGACTGAATTCTCTTCCTTGCCGACAATTTGATTGTTCATAAGGTAAAAACAACTGTTCTAAATATGTACCAAAAAAAAAAAAACGCGTCTTATCGTAGACAGTGAGAAAGAAAAGGAAGCTTTCATATTTAAAAGGCTTTTATTAACAATAGATGTGTCCGGATAATGAATGAGAAAAAATATTTTATTTAGTAATTTTCTCAGCGCGTAGTGAATAAAAGTAATATTATCAAATGGACTTCCGCCAGTCATTTGTAGTCGTGCGCTTCAATTCCGGTTTCGATGACCTTGTATCCTCGAGCAAGAGTTAATAATACCGCTGAAAGAACAATACTTCAAATATTTAATGAACCTCAATCAAATATGTCTATATTATGATGAATTGTCATCTATGATCGGTCACACATTATGCTACACATGTGATAATTAGTCCAATGGGGAAGCAAAATACAAGTTGCTATGTTTACCTGTAAACTCTTTTATTTGCTGAATCAACATATCTTTTTCATGTATATATATATTGATAATAGTTGTTGTTCCGTTCATAGTTTGATGAACATGGATAAGATAAACTATGATTCAACTGTAAAACAAGCTAATAATATCATTGTTCTCGTAGCTGTTAAAAAAATGACAGATATTAATTTCTTTGCACGATATTTCTGAACAAACCAATTAGCTGCAATGATCATGGCATGGTATTCGTTTCCCATACAAACATAGTTTTCTAAATGTTTGTTGTATTATAAAATATTAGTATGATATGTAAACATTACTCTGAAAATCAATGGAAAGTTCGTATTTGTTTGATTCTGGTTATATCTGATATTGAAAATAACATATATTTAATATTCATTAATAACTTTTTACAGCTGTTTTGTAAAGATTGCTTTATGTTGATGTCAGCGATGAAGAGATCGGAAATATATTCTTTAAAATTTGAAGTACCATTAATGATTACTAACCTATAATTAGAAACGATTTTCTGTATCACTTGCTTTGTTTCCTGTTAAGCAGTTACGTAAGTGATCTACACTTCAAATATCTTTAATTTTCTATAACATAGCATATTTTTTCTATTACTTGAAGTTAACAACACGTTCTTTATCAAGTTGGATGTGTAGTGATTGAAATGCATTTCTGGTAATGAAAATACTTTGTTTCACACAGAGAACAGGTGAAGACTTTCCCATAGATTCTATCAATACTACATTGTGCAAAAATCTGGAACCTTTTACAATTCGTATTTAGTAGTGTAACTAAAAGTGTGTTGAGATTCCAATCACTTCCTGGAAAACTTATTCTAATCATATAGTTGTTTTTCCACTTAATCAGTTAAGTTAAAAAAGGAACGAAATGACAGGTCTTCTCCACGACCATTCTTCATCGAACTGCACTCAATTTACTAAAAGTCTCAGACACAGTAAAATCATGTGTGGAGAACTCGGCGACCTATCATTTTGTTCAGAAATGTTTGCTCTATCGAATGAAGCTGTTTGCAAGAAGTATTTGGTCAAACCCAGAGAACTGGTTTTGAGGTCTTGATTTTTTCAGAAATCC